ATTCCAAACCCATATGACTTTCTTTCTTCCGTGGAATACAAAAATATGAAGAATGTTGGTAATCAAGCAGTTTCAGGTTTTGTTTAGTTTCGTTTATATGAAAGTCAACGGGATCGAGATGTTTGGTTACCAACATTCTTTAAAATATCTTCTTGTTTGTTCCACCGAAAAAAAGAAAGTCATAAAATTTTGGAAAGACATGAGGTTGAGTAAATAACAGAATTTTCATTTTTGGGTAGACTATATCCTTTTAAATATACATCTTTAATATAAACAATAGCGGGCAAAATAGTTTAGAAGAACCTTGTTTCTTTCATTTTCCTTGTGCTCTCTCACTTCCAAGATGTCTACCCCCCTCACCACCTTGTGTGCTGTCAGTCACCAAAGTGACTATAAACATGCCCTCCACCCCCTCCCGTTTGTCACCCCAATTCTATTTATCCCCTCTTCCTTTTCTTATTCGCTGTGAAGAAGGCTGCATGTATTCTCAGAGGGGGATTCTGACTAACACAGAACTCTTTAGCATGCTGAATAGCTCTTACTAATGACTAGATCTCTGTTTGCCGAAGTTAAGAGGTTTCCTATTACGGCAGACTTTGATCAACTCAAGATTAACCGATGAAAAGCACTTCAAGTTCTCAAATATATACAGTAGATCATATTTACATAATCTGAAAAATCATTGTAAAATCATTACACCAAGGAACTCTATAAGGTCAAAAGATCAAAAGCAAGGACACTTGAATACAGGGAATGACCTCGCTTCAAAAGCTTCTTTGTAAGAAATCAATGCATTTGTAATCAGATCAACTGTTCCTGAGAATCTCAGGTCTGATATTTAGGTCAGCAAAATGAAATGGAACTGATTTCTAGTTAGAGAGTTCCTATAAGCATTCCCATCATATTTGCAGCATTAAATAATGAGATTCCTTGTTTACGACACATTGACTTCTATGGTACTTCCCCCCACGAAATGATGCAGTTAACAACAACAACTGTGCCGTCAACACACTTCAGACTCAGGCCACACACATTCACTGGGATCGCTGACCTCGGTTTAATGTTTTCCTATTTTGTTATTGCCATATATGCCATTTCTTTACTATTTATAGGTCAGTATCAGTATTTTTTTTATTTATTAAAAATAAATAAATAATAATAATAATAGTAAACTGTAAAAAAACTAATAATTTTAATAAATACAAATATTTTAATTAATTATTACAATATAAATGACATTTATCTAAAAATAATTTAGTATTTTATAGGCTATATAGGAACACTCATTTAAGATTCCTATGTATTATTTAATGCTATATAAATGGACCCTTTGATGTTATACATGGGTCAAAGACAAAAAAGGGTTTAAGCATAAAAACAGTAAGTGTAATACTGCTTTAAATTATTGTTGTTTTTCGAAGAAAAAAAATGAAAAAGTTTTCTGTTTAATTTAATTGCAATTTTGTTTTTGTTTTTCCGAGCAAAAAATAAATATCATACATTTTTCCCTGATTTACAGAAGACACCGCACTAAAATGTCATTCAGTGAAACATTCTTGTCAGGCATATTTACAACAAAAATCTATTTATGACATATTAAAAGACTAATTACTTTCACCCCAAATACTAATTAGTTGTAATTTTACATTTTTTACATTTGCCACTATGCTAGGTTTTGGCCATTTGTCAGTAAGAATTTTTTACTCATTTAAAACACAATAAAATTTAAGATGCTGCCTTATTCTTTTATATATTTTAGTACAAGTCAGAATAAGTAGCCTATGTTGTTTGAATTTTTACATAAATATTGTGTCACACTGGATGACAATGTAACATTATTTCAACCAAACTGTAACATTTTATTCTCCAAAAACTTATTTGAAACCTTAAAAGTAGACACTTTACTTACATTTAATGTGCTTTCTATGGACATACAATCACTTTTGTACATTTCTTTTGATGCGGACATCTTAACGTCTTTGACCCACATTCATCTGTCACTTTCCCCATCTCCACTGCAAAAAGATCCTGATCCTACTTAGTATGATCTTTTCTGTGTCAGTTTCACCCCTAACCTCTGCTTTCCCTGGTTCTAGCCTCTTTGCTCATTCTCTCTCCATGAAGTCATGTTTTTAAACAGAACTCCATAGGTAAGAAAACCAGCAGGCCCTCACAAAGGTCTCAGGTAGCACAGGGGCCCCTGGAGATTACAGATATAGGGCCAGACACAAAGAGCTTTCTCTCGCACACTCAATTACACATTCTCAACATCCAAATAGCATTTCCTGCCCTTAATCCTTTTCTTTACTCTTAACTGCTGTCTTTGTTTACAGAATGAATACAGAGCCGGTAACGCGAACACGCACAATTAAGTATTTAACAACATAAGGGATGATTAAACATTTTAACATTTTGCATTTTTAAAGACACTTTAAAAAAAAACACTGTATAATGCAGGAAATGTACATTTTCTTGTCCGTTTAATGACCTTAGAAAGTCGTTGAACAAGTAATGGCACTTGTTAAAAGACTTAACGGTGTTAGATAGGCCTAACATCTTTCTTTTTCTTTTCATTTTTTTTTTCATATCCCATACAGTCTCAATGTGTGTTCCCACTTAATAAAAACAGTGTGTAATAACTTTTAGTAACTTACCTGTCCGCTGTGATGTTCTGTTTATATTCGATCCTAACGTCTTTCTGTCAATTTCATCCAGACAGACGCTCCTCGAGGTTTACTTTGTCTTCAAAAACATTAAAAATCCTCTTGGTGTGTTCATCTTATCTGAGCGGCGTAGACCAGATGGTTTCCGAAACGTTTTCACTCATGACATTACCGGACAAACTCCGGTAAAGTACATCTTCAAGCGCTCGTTCTCCGGGAATTACTGCTCTCGCTCTCGCGGCCTCTGCTCTGACCAGCGCCGTCGCCACGCCCACATTGCTGACGACACCACAGGCCCAGGTGTTCTTCTGTGGGACTGCATTTATGGCCATATCATTTAGACAACACACTCCAAGTGTGTGTTTAAGACAGTGAAGGAAATGAGTTCTTGCTACTGGGGTTAATAAAGGATATCTATCTAATAATTGGTCAGAGCTTATGTCAGGGTTCATACACTGTTTGACCAATTAATTTCCCTGACTTTTTCAAACAATTGTGAAGAGCTACATGAGTTTATTATTGTTGTTGTTGTGATTGTTCTGGTTTTGTCAGTTTATTAATTGATTTTCCTGCACTGCACATCACACTTTTGAAATTCCCTGACATTTCCAGGCTTTCCATGAGGATTGTAAACCAAAATGTGATGTGTTAAAAGAAATTGATCAGACATATTAAAGGACAAACTGCTTTTAATTTACACCAAGCAGTATCAAACAAACCAAGGACACACATTAAACTAACAAATTGTATAGGCAAAACCGCATGCACTAAATTGCTTAATTTTTCTCATAACTAAGACAATAGTATCAAATTATATATATAAAAAAACACACACCACATCATTGTTCACAAATACTGCATAAGAAAACTCGATACAAAGACTTGTTCAGAAGAAATCTCACTCACTAATCTGACATGCTGCATTTAAAAGCATAAATAAACATAAAAAACCAACAACAAAAAATGGCCTTGATACAAACAGTGGTCTGTTGACATATTTGATACATTCAATTGAGATATTAGGCCTACATAATATTACAGGAATTACAACCCTCAGGCAAATGTTGCATAACAGAAGACACAGCAACATTCTTGCAAGTCAGGTATGGTATACAAAATATATCATGACAACAATATATAATATTAATTTGTGCGATATTCACATTACAAGTTCTATAGGCAAGAGTGAAAGAGGGTAAAATGTTGTAATGTCTGGATAATGGAAGACTTTTCAAACTAAACAGTGATTTTAAATCTACAAGGAAGACCAGTATCCTTTGAAAAAGACTGGTTTAACTTAATATAGTTTCTTGAGACTCTGAAAGTAAAGGCAACAATTAGAGTCTAGAATAATTCAAGCAGCATTTCATAAAGCTCAACACTGCATGACACCATTCAAGTACATTTAAAGTGGCTCTTCACATGAAATCTCTGTTGATTAAACTCGATGAGGAAAGTCAATAAGTTGTAAAACTGTTAACTGCTTTACATGTCAAACACGATTTATAACAGCCGCATATATCTGTCATAAATGAATACTATTGTTGTTGAGAGTTGACCATAATGAAGCTGCCTACTAGATATTAAACTCGCACTCTTTTAATATTTCAACTATTATTCAGCGATACAGAGAAAAAGGCAACTGGTTCAGTTTCACTATGGTATCAATAAAGGGAATAAGGTTTGGCCTCTGGTAGTCTAATTCAGGACAGAACATGTATTGGTCTAGATCAAGTTTTTGAGAAAATATGTATTTTAAGGCACTCAGCCCAAAAGTCCTCCCTTATAATTTGGTTTGCTTGTTTTTCTTGAAGTACATTAAACTATGACCCCGTTTACACCTGGTTTTAAGATCCGTTTTGGCTGTTTTAATCACAAGTTGTCAGTACTGAATGGGGTTCAAAATGTTTCATGATTGGTTCACTCAAACCACATTCAGTAGTCAGAAATGCATGTGACCGTGTTGCATTTGTAGTGTAATGTAAAAAGAGTGCCTACTCAGTGTATTTCTAAATAATCTGCATTTTTTACAAATTATTTATTTTAAATTTGAACATTTTTAACTGACAAAGTGATGTATATTGTCAGAGACCTTCCTTTGAACTCCTATTACAAGCTGATAAAATGTATTTGAGCTAGATGTTAGTACCGAGTATAAACAAGGCTTTAATATATTAGAATAAAATATTTAAACACTACCGTTCAAAAACTTTGGGGTTGGTAAAATGTTTTAATCTCTCTAATCTTTCAGCATCCAGTACTCCAGTCTTCAGTGCATGATCCTTCAGAAATCATTCTAATATGCTGATTTGTTGCTCATTAAACATCAATATTGAAAACAGTTGTGTACTGTTTTTGTAGAAAGAATAGCATTTATTTGAAATTGATTTTTTTTGTAACAATATAAATGTCTTTACTATCACTTTTGATCAGTCTAACGCATCCTTGCTGAATGAAAGTATTAATTTCTTTAAAAGAAAAAAAACCTGCCCAAACTTTTGAATTAAAACAATTCTGCATAGATGAGTGGACCAAAATTCCTCCACAGCGCTGTAACAGACTCATTGCAAGTTATCGCAAACGCTTGATTGCAGCTGTTGCTGCTAAGGGTGGCCCAACCAGTTATTAGGTTTAGGGGGCAAACACTTTTTCACACAGGGCCATGTAGTTTTGGATTTTGTTTTCCCTTAACAATAAAAACCTTCATTTAAAAACTGCATGTTGTGTTCACTTGTGTTATCTTTTACTAATATTTAAATTTGTTTGATGATCTGAAACATTAAAGTGTGACAAACATGCAAAATAATAAGAAATCAGGAAGGGGGCCAACACTTTTTCACACCACTGTATAGCATGTATATATCCCACTGAAATAAATCTGGGGGGGAAAAAATCCTATTAGTTTAAGGAAAATGTAATGTTGTAGGAACACCCTTCAAGACACCTGACCCTCCTGGTAGAAGCATCACACTCATTCTATCAGAGGTAGAACTCTATGAACACGCTTGCATATTAGCATAGAAAACCACTATGATCTCTTGGCCCCATCCCTCTTTCAGATGTGGTCATCCACTGTAACTGGATAAGCAGCTGGTGTTTGGGCAATTGCATGCACTGAGGTTCAAGGCCTTTGGCTAGGGAAAGAAATCCTGTGGATTGCGGCTTGTTTCTGCCCCTGTAGGCAGTACAAAATACTGCAGGTTGAATGAGCGCTGCTGCTTCATTACAGGGAGATGCTTGTGGTTTGTGACTCCCTCTACCAATAAGATTTATGAACTGCTACTAAGACGTCTGCGTAAGAGAGAGGCAGGTTTTGTGCCGGTGTCCTCCTGATCGCTCTCACAGTCTCTCTGATTGGGAAAAAAAGGGAAAGTAAAGAAGCATTATTTATAACAATTAAGCACCTTTACCATGTACTTCTCATTATGTGTTTTTCAAGAGATTTTTACCAGTTCTTGTTGCTCCGGACCACGGGCCTTACACAGTAACTGCAGTCGACAAAACCGATTACAAGCTGAAACCATGTTAAAGGACATCTGTGTGGTGAGGAAAAACAACTAGTTAGGAATTAGTTAAGAAATATTACAGCCTATCTGTACAAAATATTCATCACAATCCAGACAGAAAAAGAGCAACAAAAGGGCATCATGACAGAGTTACATAATGACTCAGTGTTTCTACTGAACAGCAGGTGTCTCTCTTTACTCATAGGTCTGTTAGTTTAGAGAAGTGAGTCATTTGAGTCAGCTAAGGTAGTGTTAGCAACCGGTTCAGACACTTAATGGAACAGTTTAGTCATTTGTGTTGCTTTTTTTTTTTAGAGTTCTGTGTCACAACTTGGAAACATGAAAAAAAAATCTATGTTAAAATTCTTGCAAAGGAATAAATAACAGATTTTTGGGTGAACTATCCCTTTAAGAGACAGTGAAGAGCTTGTATCATCACATTATATCAAAACAGCTGCCGATTAAATGTAAAAAGGCACTGAATGCAGAAGTGAGAGGCCGATATGACAAAAACAGCAAAACTAGATGTTCATTAATACTACAGGAGGGACAGAGAATGACTGAGGGATACAAAAAGACATAAAAGACTAAGTATGCCGTGAGACACACAGGTAGTGACAGAAAAAGTTGGTCTGTGGGTAACTCCAGCCAATAGCAGGTTTCTCTGACCAACCTTCCATTTCCTCCTCGCGTTGAACTTCTTAAAGTTCTTCATGTTGATGGAGGAACGGTTCCTCTTGGCTATTTGAGTTCTATTGAGAGGCTAAAAGAGAAATGGATGCAGAAAACAGTTACTGAATGAAAATGAAAAATAATTACGTCATAAAATGTAATATGAGGAAACGGGTGAGTTCACGCATCTCACCTTAATCCAGGGGTGAACGAGACACTCTTCTGCTGTTATTCTTTCGCTAAATACAAACGCACAAAAGCAGTATAAAAATATTTAACCCTTATAAATTATTCATTAGGCAAAGGTTAGATTAGACAGTTAAAGATCAAATTAAAATAGCAGTTTGAATCTGAAATACAGTTTATATTATTCCCTCAAAGCAGAGCAATCGGGGAATCTTTCAATCTTTGAAGAAAATATATTTTTAAAAAGTGTATTAATACATTAAAATGTATAAACAAAATAATGAATAAATATTCTTTTTAAATGTTTTGGGAAACTTTCGCCTACCCAAAACCAATTTACAATCCCAATTATTCTAATATAATTAATCTGATTATTGCTACCTCTGGTCTTTAACTAGTAGTTTCTGGATGAAATCTTTAGCCATGTTGCTGGTTTGGCTGAAGTAGTGAGGCTCAAACTCATAGTTCATTGCCACGATGTTCCTCAGCGTCTCTTCATCCGTCTCGCCTTGGAACGGTGACAGACCACTCAAACTGATGGCATAAATATACATGAATAAGAAATAATATAAAAAAATAAAATACAAGAGTTTCTACATATATTTTTACTGCAATATCACAGTAGTCTAGGATACAAAAAAATATGTTAACATTTAAAAAATATGCACACCACCATTAAGATTAACTGCTTTATCCCTGCCTGAAGATAAAGGCTATTACTAGTCAGTCTGTTGGTTATCTACTCCATATCTGGTGTACTTCATTTCTGACATGACTGATCTCATCCCACAGGACCTGACCTATATAAACTTGAAAAAGCACATTGCTTGTCAAACGGGGAGGCTTTATTTCAGAGGTAATTTATGTTCTAGTTAAAATCTGAATATTTGGAGCAGCACTTTGAGTTGCAGACTGATTCTTAAAGGATTTGACTGTCAGGAGTGTTATCATATGATTAATAACAATGGAAGATTACTTACAGAATGTAGGTAATGACACCAATGCTCCTGAAAAACATCACAAGAACATGATTAATCATCATTAAGTGAATCTTAAAACTGGTATATAGAATTCTAAGCAATTTAACATGCAAAAAAAATTAAAAAATGACAAACTACTGTAAACTATTTTAGACTATTTTTAAATACAATATTTTATATATTAAAAAACATATATATTATTAAAAAAATCTATTTATTAAAATTAATATATCATTCCAAAATATAATTCATAAGGTTTACATTTTGATATAGAAATACACATTTATTTATTTAACACATTATTTTATCCAAAGTGACTTGCTTAAACTTTCACATTTTCATCACGTTCTCTGGAAATCGAACCCATGACCTCTGCTTTGTTTGTGCCATGCAGTCCCAGCTGGGCTTCAGGAACGAATGAGATGTAAACCGAACACGTGTTATGCTAACATTATGCTAACCAGACATGAGTTACTGTCTTTGGCGCAGCAGATGATAGCTACTGCTTTTTGTCAAAAGCCAAACTAGTTTGCCTTCTGACAATGTTTCGCACTTGACATCCATATTCAGTTGCATATTATGAAGTAAAAATACATACACGCTGAGACGTCGGAGAAAGACAAATCAAGTGAACATGCCTGTAAACTCTTTTATGCACTCTAACACTATATTTCCATGTATGTAAGAGTGTTTGTGTTGCTAATTTAACTTGGATTTACCACATATCTGCTGCTGTACTGAGAGGCTCGTAGTTGATAATCTCAGGGGCTGAAACAGATGGAGAGAAACAAAGGCTTTTGTCAAGTAAAAATAAAAATCTCCTTGTTGGCTCATTAATTCTTCAGCATTTTTTCAGTTGCAGCAGTGCGCTGAACTCATTTTATTGCATTAATCAAACGTTTCAGAAAGCTTTGGCCAGACAGAAGCAGACATGTTTGAGAAGTCAAACTGACAAAATTATACCATTAAGTGCATTTTTTGGGACCAGCAGCACGTTCACGTCCTCACATGAACCACAGTAGATTGTGTTCTGTTCCCCACTGAGTTTCATACGAACAAAGCTTCACTTTACTTCACTTTGACACAAACCTAGAAGGGGTTTAAAATAGCTGACTAGCAAACAAACTAGGCATGAAGGTCATTTATTTGACTGAAAACCACACAAAGAAATAGTTTAAACAAACAAACCAAAAAAATGCTTTCATAACTTATTCACCCTCATGACTTTTGAACACAAAATGTTTGGAACAATATGAGGGTGAGTAAATGAGTAAATTTTATTTTTTGGGTTAACCATCCCTTTAAAGTGGACAAGCCTGTTCATCTATCAAATGAAAATGTGTTTTAAATGACAAAGTGGTGGTGATAGTTTAATTATTGTGGATTTTGGCAGCTAAAAAGGTTCATCTAAAAGTAGGGCTGATTTAGGAACTGGAGTGTTACTGAAATCACAATTCAGCCAATCACCAGATGTGCTTAGAAAAACACTAAAGCTCTAGTTGTTCACAAAGGACATCCTCGTGATAAGTAAAGTGCTAGTCACTTTGAACAAGAGGGTCTGCTTAATATCAAGTAGTATACTACTTCTGCCTAGTCTCATGGAGAAATACTACATGGTTTGTCTAATACCCTTATTCAATATTCCCATTTACATTTATTTAGCATGGTACAACTATATTTATAGGAAATAATTTATATCTTAATCTTTTTATATCTTAATAATTTATGGGAAATATTTATATCTCATAACAACTAGTAAAATGATTTCGTATTGATATCATTATCCTTTACTATCATATTATTAATCTATTTATTAAATGTATTTATTTTTATTTGATGAATACATTATTTATAATTTAATATTTATACTATGCATTTTTTTTAATTGTAGATAAAGACGAGTATTTACATCTCACAACAACTAGTAAACACATTATTTTTGCTATCATTATTTTAAAATTACATTATTTTATTTATTTAATATATTGTTATAATTTATAATTTAATATTTATATTATGTATAATTTTACTGTTCAAATGATTGGACTATTTAGTATTGTGTCCAAAATCAGAATTAAAACTAATTCTGTTTTGGATTAAAAATGATCCCTATTGGTATTGCTTGTAAAAAATAATATTGGTCTCTAGTTTAGTTTCTACACAGTTTCAGGCCACACGGACAAATATGTGTGCATCTGCATTCTGTCAAGGTCAGTATTTAAAAGAATACTGATAAGTGTAGCCGGATAGTGTGTCACATTTCACTATGTTTCCTTTAGTTTAAAGGAATTGATGAGCTGTTAAATGACTCAAGGACATTTCTGCAGTACATCAGCAGTGACATTACATCTGTGATCTCACAATAGTTATTTCTGTTCCTGTCCACTCAATTTTCAGATGAACTTATGCAGCTCTGCCATTTCATCAGTTAGTCTCCATGGAGACAGCTAGAAATAAAAATTGTGCATATTGCCAAAGGCAGGAGCATAATGCATGCAGAGACAGAAGCAGGTGTAGAGTTAAACACACACTCAAGCAGATGCAGAATCAACATGCGCACACACACTTTACAAAACATACTGTACACAGGTATGTAAATACAAGCACTATTATTATCAGTCAGTGAATATAAAAGCATACACTCAACTGTTGACACATTTATTGTTAGCTGATTAAATAATAACAAAACCGGTTTAACAATACAGAAAATTGAAGGTAACTCTATCGCCCCCATGAGTACGGAGGTTTGTTACCACCACGAATGAACGTTAAAGGGATAGTTCACCCAAAAAATGAAAATTCTGTCATTAATTACTCACCCTCATGTAGTTCTAAACCCATAAGACCTTTGTTCATCTTTGGAACACAAATTAAAATATTTCTTTTACGAGCAGAGGAATGCACAAGCATATGTCGTGGTACTGTTGTGAATGTCGGCGGAAACTAACACGGAAGAGAAGAAATTGTTAAATAAAGTCTTTATTTTTGTTTTATTTGCGCTCTCGGATTTCATTAAAAAATATCTTTTGTGTCTTACGGATTTAGAACGAGTAATTCATGACAGAATTGACATTTTTGTGTGAACTGTCCCTTTAAGTATACAATACCGTCAATAAGATTTTATATTTTGACAGAAATGATAACTTTTATTCAGCAAGGATGCATTAAATTGATCAAAGTGACAGTGTAAAGACTTTCATACTGTCACAAACCTATTTGAAATTCATTCTATTCTTTTGAACTTTTTATTCATCAAAGAATTCAGAAAAAAAATGTATCATGTTTTCCACAAAAATATTAAGCAGTATAACTGTTTATAACATTGTTGATAACAAGAAATGTTTCTTGAGCAGCAAATAAACATATCGAAATTTTAAAATAGATTTAATAGAAAACGGTTCCTTAAAATTGGAAAAAATATTTCACAATAACACAGTTTTTACTGTATTTTGGATGAAATTAATGCAGCCTTGGTTGAGCATGAAAAAAGTTTTATCTTCTTAAATTCCGACCTCAATAGTAGAGTATATCTCATGCTTGTGTTATTGGACAAGCATTCAGGTCTGCATTTGCATATTTGCGTAGGTTTATGGCCTTTAAATGAACACATTCACTTGAACTCAAAACCACACAGACGGAACCACTCACCAATATACTGAGGGGTTCCACCTAAACTCTTATACTCTTCTCCTTGAATGAAGCGATGGGCCATGCCGAAATCAATGATCTTGATGTCTGGATTGGGAGCGTGTTTGTCCGACAACATGATATTTTCCGGCTGAAGAACAAGAAGGAAGATAAGAACATGCCTTTTGCCTTATACACAACACAGGTTTATTTATTTTTATTGTAAATGATGTGTTTAGTTTATTAGGTTGTACATTTTTTAAAGGGGTTGTATTATGCTCTTTTACAAAGTCTTGATTTTGTTTTGGGGGTGTACTAGAACAGGCTCTCACACTAGGTTGTTCGAAAAACACATAATTTTTCACATATTTTACATTATTACAACACCTCTCTCCCCAGTCTGGCATGAACGGCTCGAATAGTTCCTGTATCAAGTGAAGGCCAGCCTTCTGAAATACGAAATGTGCTGTGATTGGTTAGCTGGGCCAGTG